AATGATGTTTGAAAGCTTCATGGACAAGAAACGACTGAAGAGTTTTAAAACTTTGCCCTAAAAAGAACATTCTTGTGTTGTGGTTATGCAAGAGTATATTACAAGTTATAATTATCAATAACTCTATAGACTTCGAAACAAAACTTTTTTGCGGAAACTTCAGTATGTCCAAACATTATTTTTTTAATGAAAATGAACCTGACAGAGCAAAAAACATTTTTTGGGGATAAACTTGGGGATATTCGTCTCAGTGTTTCTCTTTCTGGTCTTGTAAAGTTCACAAAAATATATATAACTGTATGAGTTTCAAAAAAATGAAACAAAAACTCAGTTTTTTTTCAACTATTTTGAAACTCCCTACTCGCAAAGTAAAACACAAAAAGATACCATATAACAAAGTAATATTGAGACAAAAAAGCAAGCCTAGACTCAATTTGGATTGATTTCTACGTCGGATTAAAACGGGGCTTACTTGGCAAAATCGCTTAAAAAAATTGCGTGTTAATTGCCTCTAATTAGCCAAATTGCCAATCTCTAAAACCCAAAACTCTTTGAAAAAAGATTACAACAGAAATAATTTTTGTATAATAGAGATTGTCGAAATTTGTCTGGTGAAAACCCTCACCGAGCACAAATATTACGCAATTTTCTTCTAAAGGCATAATTTCACTTTGAACTTGATGTTGCCCATTGAGAAAAGAATCAAATTTTTTTTAGTTTCAGCTTTTTAAAATTAGTTGAAACACTTTTTGTTGAAAAATATCAGCTGGATCAATCGTACTTTCTCTCTGATCTAAACAGTTATATTTCTCTTGTTTTTTCTGTTTTGCCTAAGTTTGCTAACAGCTACTTGCTTTCAACACTTGGTAATTTTTTGAATTTTTTTCTGACAGTGTTTAGTGATCAAAGTGATGGATCTCAATGATAAGCGTTGTAAATCTTTTACATTAATTCTTTAGCATCGAAAATAAAAAGAAATTAAAATGGCATCATTTTGAATCATGTAGTATAGACTCGAAATTTTTTGGGTTACTGAATTGAAAAAGTTATGTGTACCTTCTAAGAATCAAAGAGATACTGCAGTTTTTTAAGTGCGGCGGATCTTTCTATGGCTGCGAGTCAGTTTCTTTGATTTTGAGATTTTCCAGAAGAAAAAATTTGGTTTTTGTTTTGTCATCATTGTTATTTTATTAGAAAATCTTTTAGGCTAAACTTATCTTCAAACTTTTTGAAAATGTTCACACTTAACTGTATAATAGTTTAAATGCCTTGAAATTTGAGACCAAAAATTTTTTAGGATTTATGAAGATTGAAGTTTGAACAGACACTGATGATTTTTCAGCCAAAATGCGTTTCGATTTCGTGTTGATTTTACTACAGTTAAAGTTTCTCTTTTTACTGATTTTTTGGCCGGGCTAAAAATTTTGTGCATTGCCTTACCCTGTTAAAACTTTTGACTTACTAACTAGATTAACTTTTTTTATTATTTTTATCAGAACTTTGAAGTCAGCCAAATTTAATTTAAATTTTTGTGTTCAACAAATGTTTGAAATAAATTGCTAATTTTTATAAGAAAAATAGATAGTGCATTTTTTTTGTAATTGGACAAGATGAAATTCGAAAAACCTGGTGGATAGTTTTTCGAATGAAAACTCTTGAAACAGAAGGTTTATGTATCGAATTTGATTCGGCAATTTTGTTGTTAATCCTTCCCCCTTTAGTATTTTTTAGATCATGCATTTTGGCAAACCAACCCTAAAATCAATCTAAAGCCGCTTTCGGCGCCGATGTATACTAATTTTGAAGTGAAGCGCCCGCCAAAGAAAAAAACAACTTTTTGGTGAAAATTTTTCAAAAAACTGCCCAAACTAGCACCCCCATCGAGAAAATCTTAGATCAACCCTAGTTTCCAATACCAATAAAAAACAGTAAAAGGTTTTGAATTGATTCACATTATACAATTTTGTTGAAAACTTGTTCAGCTAGTCCTTTCCTTTTCAGTTCTCTCCCAACAAAAATTGCTCTATTTACATTATTTCGGTTCGAGTTTTTAAATCAGTCAATCTGGACTATAATTTATTGAATTCACGAGAAATTAGGCCCCCGAAAAACTATGCTGCTGTATAGAACAAATTCTGTTGCTTAATAAAAAAAATCTGCTTTTTCTGCTCTTTGAAAATTTTCCTTAACCATACGTCTTTAAATAATTTCCGTTTTTATATTTTTTCAAGAAAAATCTACTTTGAAAACAAACAGAATACTTTCAGAAAGCAATTTAAAGATAAGCAGAGTGTCGGATAAAAGCACTTTCCGTATATCTGAGGGGCAACTCATTTAATTAGGCGTTTATTGCAAATTAAGTTACCACTTTTTATCGCTCTTCAAGAAAAAAGATACTTGCAAAATAAACAGCACTTTCAGGAAGCAAAATAAAAGATTAGCAGTGTATCGGATAAATGCATTTTTTAATTTCATAGAGATAGCGCAATTTCTGTATAAAGTTTAGTCAATTACGATGAGATATGTATTTGCGCCTTTCATTTTATGATTTGAAATTTTTTGATTAATTTTGCCGTTTGATTGAAATTCAGCTCTATCTGCTGCTCTAAAAACTATTCTGCTCTATCGGCCGACTTTTGCCAACTCTGTTAAATTATGCTGCTTGCAGAACCTTCGGGCCTGGGGGGAATGGGGGGAACGAATAATGATAGGAACGATTGATGGACAATTAATATCCGCTAATTATTTGTGCATACCCGAGTCTGAGAGAAAAAACAAAAGAAATCTTTTACAACAGTTTTTAAGTTCTAGAATAATAAATTTATAATTGATTCCCAATTTGCCCTAAGACAACGAAATGGAACCAAAAATTGATCATAATCCAATGTTTTTATCAAGTTTAAAACTAATTTAATTTCATTCAAAATCCTTTAAAATGGATTTTGTTCATCAGTTCACTTTTGTTTCACAGTGTGCTAATTTTGCTATATTTTTTGATTTTACTGAATGAGTAATGCAAAAGTTCTGCAAATCGAGTGTGTGGCCAATTTCATTTTTAAAATTAACGTTTCTCAAAATGCAGTATAGTTTCATTACCGGCCTCCTCCAAAACCCCATTATTTTTAAAACTAACGTTTCTCAAAATGCAGTATAGTTTCATTACCCCCTCATCCAAAAGGTCTTCAAGTCTTCGAACAACCCCCTTGCCACACACACACACACCACACGAAACAAACGCTCCCCTCCCAGCGTTTGGTGCTTTGTCACCTCAACGCCCTTAAACGTTTGCCCTTTCTCCTTTACCCCCACCACCAGCTCCAACCAGACACCTACCAAACAGGACCACATTTCGTGGTGTAGTTTTTGACGCCCAAGCTTTCGACAGATTTTTTTTGGTCAATTTGCTGAAAACAATGGTCAAAATAGTACTTTTGGAAAATTTTGGCCCAAACTTAAAATTCTTGGCGCGTGATTCCTTTCGATACCTGTCAACATACACACACATACAACCATTGATATATACATACAAACCCCCCTCGAATTTTCTAAACAAATTAACGCTTAAAACGTGCAAATTACTCTATGTAGGTTGAAGCTTGCATCTCAATAAAATGAGAAAAAACTTATTCTAGTGGATATTTAGTGTATTTATCTAAAAAATGAAAAAAAAAAAATTGATTATAGTTGAGTTACCATCGCTTTTATTATTCTGTAAATAATCAATTGAAAGGTAAAAAAATCCTTTTACGGATTTTTTTGGTCAAATTGCTGAAAACAATGGTCAAAATAGTTTTTTTGGACATTTTTGGCCCAAACTTGAAATTCTTGGCGCGTGATGCCTTTCGATAGCTGTCAACATACACACACTTACAACCATTGATTTATACATACAAACCGTTCTCGAAACTTCTAAACAAAATAACGCTTAAAACGTGCAAATGACTCTATGTAGGCCAAAGCTGGCATCTCAATAAAATGGGAAAAAACTATTATAGTGGATATTTAATGTATTTATCTATAAAATGAAAAAATCGATTATAGTGTGTTCCCATCGGTTTTATTTTTTCTGCAAATAATCGATTGAATGTGAAAAAAAGCAGTTTTAATTTATTATAATCAATTACTTTTCACTTTTGAAAACACTGACAAAAAAATCAATTAATCAATTTCTATCTACTAAACAGTGCGGGTGCAAAAAATCCACAAAATTGTCAAATTCTTCTTGCAAACAATACTGATTGGCCATCACCAATAGTATCAACCGAGCAAAAACTTTGCAAGAAAATGGTATAATCCGAACTTGGTAGAAAACCTAATGCGTATCGCTGTAGACGAGCGCAAACGTTTTCCAGCGCAATTATTCTAGTTTAAAGCCCATTCAGTTCATATAGTTTCAATTTCACTGCCTTGGTTCCAATCAAAAATTGTTTTCTTTGGGGTTTCAGATTATTGAGAAATACCTAAGACTTTTTATTTTCAACAAGGTGTTATTTCTCATTTTCCAGAAAGCTAAAGAGTTCAAATTGCCGAACACAGAATTACAAATGTAATTTTATTTAATCAAAATTTTTGAACCGAAATGTCCGCGAAAATGCTTTAATAGTGAGTTTATTTTTTTTAGCTAATTTAAGACTTTTGATTTAAAGCCTCTTGCATGTTAGAGCTACTTTGATTTCTCAGGGTATTTTTGATAGTTCTTAAATCTATCAAAAAGCCTTGAAAGGAAGAAATCAATTATAATTAAAAACTCTGCAAACCACCTAAAAGGTAAAGCCCAAAGCTAAAAATTACGATGAATCTTTGAGTTTCCTTCTTAAAAGCATCTCCGATGAAAAACTGATTCTAAAAATTTAGTTTTTGAAAACGTTTCATTCAGAAACTGATATTGAGTGGAGTAACAGATTCAAAAGTGTTTTCACCAATGAGAAGCTTTCAATTCTTATTGCCATCTATTTCAATTACTGTTTTTAAATAGGAAGCCGTCACAACACTCTCAAAAGCACCATTGAGTACAGTTTGGTCAAAGTAAACCTGATAATTATATTCTTTTGAGAGCGGAGATTTCCTTTTTTTGTGTGTTATAACCGCTTGAAACTTGGAAATTTGTTAGATCAGGAGTTTAAACCAAAACTGCGCAAAACAAAAATGATTAACCCAATAAACCTTTTCAGTAATCTTACTTCAAATGTTACCCAAGAACCCGTTACCCAAGAACCTTTGGCAATTCCACCTTTGGGTTTTATTGTGACTGTGACTTGTTTGAGTATGCTTGCAATTGTTTCGCAAGCAATTGTTATTATTATATCAATGGGCCTTGAAGGAAATTTCTCCGCGCAAACTATTATGGTCGTTCAATCTTTCTTTGAAATTTTAAAAATGATGATGAATCTACAACGAGCAATGTGTGGCTTATCAGGTTATTGTAAAGTTTAAGAAAACACGAATTAGGCTCATTTTTTATGTTGTTTCAGTTTTGAAATAATTTTGATTAATTTATGATGAACAATTAACTGTGATTTTGGTAGTCATTTTTCACTTCAAAAGGTTTGCAACATTGCAAGCAAACTTTGAAAGCACTTCTTAGAAAAAAACTCCAGAAGAATTCTCTTACGAAAACAAGCAGGACTTAAATGAAATCTTCAAACTGACCAAAAAGTTTTAGCAAGTTGCAAACTTCTGGAGTTTTGTTGGTTCAATGTCTCATGTTGGGTGTAGATTGATATCGTGTAAACAAAAATTTCTATGGTTTTGCAGAAAGTGGAATTATAATTGATACTAGAAACCAAGCAAACGATTTTAGATTAAATGCAAGTTACAGCTCTTTTTAAAACAAAAGTTTTTGTGAAGACTTTCACTTCTAAAAGCTTTGTAGAAATATTGAACAATTTTGTGAAAAGTATTTTTTCTCTCCTCGGTAAATGTCTATCACATAACTGTTTTGCTCTTTAATTACGATAACAATTTTGCTATATAGTATAATATATGATGGTGATTTTCTTATATAGTTCTTATGCAGTTTTACGCTAGAGAACAGACAAACAAATATTGCATTTTAATTGTTTGTAGGTGGCTTTTTGCTAGCTTGTCTCCATCATCACCTCAATCTCTACTGTAAACTGACAAAAAGCCTTGGCGAGTTGGTGAATACTTTTCCAGACTATATGGCTCTACTTCTGGCTATAGATCGCTATCTGGTGATCAAAAAACCGATGTGGTATCGCACAAACTGCACTCGAAACACAGCGTGGATTCCTATTCTGCCTGCAATGTTGATAAGAGTTCCAGACCTCACTTGGATTTTTTCCAATGCCTCCGTGATCCCAGTAATAGGCTGCTTTGACGATGGGGTGAGGATTTTGCTCCACATTAAATTTTTTTTTTTCAATTTTCGACATTTAAATGTTCGATGTTTAAAACGGCTTATAAGCCATTATATTATATTGTTAAATTGTCAAATTTTTTTGTAAACGTATTTTGCGGGTTCCATGAGTTTGACCTTGTGAATTACAGAAAAAGAAATCTAAGTTTTTTTCTGATACCGGTTAATTTTAGCACCTAAAATAACGGTTTCTCCTATCAGGGATCACCTTTAAGCTAGCTTCGACATACATGAAGGCGCTTAAAACTTTTCCGAGTTCTTAGTTTCAGTTCAAAGTTTCAAATGGGTCAAAATTATTTGCAATTTGGCGAAGGAAGTTTGTCCATTTTGACTGAACCCTGATTAATTGGGAGTTGAAGTGGTAACTCCACAGTGTTTTTCGCAGGAGTTTTTGGAAAAAAGCCCGTTTTGGTCAAAATGTTGTTTAAGTTTTGGTTAACTACCTCAGCTTCTTTGAGCTGTGCCAGAACCTAATACTTTAATTAATCGTAGGTTCTCATGGTAATTTTTGCAAAACACCATTTTAATAAATTTAAAGTCACAACATAGTTTTTAACTGTTGGTCAGTTTGAATCATCTGGTAATCAGAATAGAACAAGAGTTGCTTCCTGCGATAAGAATTATTTACATTTTATTGGCACAAAATTCGTTGGTTTCAATTTTCCTGTTTATAATCTCCAAAATCGGTCATTTCAAAATGTATTTTCGAGTACATGTGAAACGTACAAATTTAGTTCAAAAATCCATCAATTTCGAATTTTCAGTGTTTATTTTTTGAAAGATCATCATTCTGAAAAGTTTTGGGTTCTGTTAACTGACCCTGATACTTCCTAGTAAAATAATTATCACCCGCTAAGAAAGATTAGCTCAACGGTTAATTTACGCAAAAATTGTACACTTCAACTACTTTTGCAGCATAAAAACAAACTCCAAAAACTGTTTTTAGGCATATATAAGCTAAATTTTCATGATTTAGAGTTACTCTTTCATTTAAAAAAAAACTGTCACTGTTTTAGATAGCCCAAGCAGTGTCTCAAATCATAGTGAATGTTCTGGGCTATTCTTCTGTCGTTCTTGGAGTTGTTTTCTCAGTTCTGCTGATTGTTGAGCTTAGAAAGAGACAAAATAGTCGGCTATCTCAGCAACGGAGCGAACCTCAAAATCTGCACAAAAAACCGCGATTAAATTTAAAGTCAAGAAGCAATGCAGCATAGTTCTCACTGCAATAAATGTCCAGGAAAAAGTTTTTGATTTAAACGATTGATGAACCTGAAAAAAAGATGAAAAAAGGTCAAAAAAAGTTTGAAGATGACAAAATGGTTCTAAAGTCGGATCAAAATTGAAAGTTTGAAAAAAATGATAGATTATTAACCGTCTAAAATCTATCAAAGAATCATTGATGTTTCCAAAGACTTGTTACTTAGGACTTTAAAAAATCAATTAGTTTCATTTTCGGCTTTTAATTCTGGAAACATTGTATTATTTGAAAATTGGGATTTTGACATTAGTATAGAATAGGATCGAGATAACAAGTGCAGGTTTTGGTTAACAGCCATACTGACAAAAAAGAACAAAACTCATCGACTGCAAAAGCTGACCAAGTATAATAATATAACCATTTTTGAGGGGGAGTGCGCAGTCAAAAAGCAATTTTTTGGTAAAAATGGGGTTTTTGACCATTGTTTGTGACCAAATTTTTTTTGGAAATACTTCAATCACTGTTTAGATTATCCTAAACGTGCCCCTGATCCAAATTAGGTAATCCGAAATAAAGAAGGAAAAGTTTAGTTGAAAGCAAAATTGATAAAAAAGCGAAAACTAGAGAAGCTGCGTCAAAATCTGAATGATTTATTATTTGATTGACAATTTTCTTGCATGCGAAGATTAAAGTTTATTTAAAAGAGAGATTAACTAGACTACTAGTTTCACTAAAAAATTTTTACAGTAGTTTTGAAAACAGTCTTATAAAAAAGTTTTATCAAAGATTATACAATTATTTAGAAAATTTTTAGGGTTCGTCGCCAAAATATGATATCTCAAAATAATACGAAGGGAAGTCCCTACCCCCACCCCCTAAATCCGCGCCTCGGCAGAATCGTGATTTCGAATATCTTGCGATCAGCGCATATTTTGTTTCAGGTCATGAAGGCTCTTCTGGTCTACAACCTGTTGTATCTGGTATGTGGCACGTTCTACTATGCTTTCAAGTCAGCAATTGCAATCGCAGAGGGTGACACGGTAAAACTTTTCGGAGGATTGATGATTATATCTGGCTCAGTTGCTATGATTGTGCAAGGACCTTTGTTTTTGAGCATTGGGACAATGCGAAACGCATTTTTTGCAACTCTCCGATATAGATCAACGATTCAATGAACAGTTAAACTGTTCCAAAATCGATGACAGAAACAGTCGTTAAATAAGGCCAATGCCCTTAAATATATGTCATACTTAAACTAGTTTTCCCAAGATAATACATACCGTTTTCCCAGAATATCTTCAGAAATGCTTCAGATTTCCCCCAAAAACTTAGTATTTCCCGAAGCTAAATATAATTTGACCGAAAATATGTTTTTTTTTCAAGTAGCAAGAAGAAATAAAAAAAGGTAACCAGATGCTATGCAAGTAGTACTTAGTGCTCCAACCACAATGTTTCAATCGGAACAAACTGAAGTTTAAAAGTTTTTAAAGTTTGGTTTTTGTAATATGAAAATCTTACAATTTTTTGAAATTTGAACATACAGTTTTTTTTTAAGTCAAGGGGGGAGTGGATTTAAGAAAGCGTAAATTGCAAGAGTGAATCTAGTGAATCTTCAGACTATTACTATCTACACTAAGCCAAAGGTGCAGTAGAATAGAATTAAACCACAATGTTTCAATAGGAACATATGGAATGTTAAAAGTTTTAAATATGAATAACTTACAATTTTTTGAAATTTGAATTGAATATCCTGTTTTTTTTAAGACAAGGGGGAGTAGATTTTAGAAAACGTCAAATGCAAGAGTTAAACTATTACTATGTAAACTAAGCCAAAGGTGCAGTAGAATTGAAAAAGTATCAATGTCAATTATCAAACTTTGTATCGTTCAACCAGGAAAAAGAAACATTTTTGTTTCATAATCAAGGTTTTGAAAGTTTTCATTTTTTACCAAAATTGAACATGTATTAAATTTGGTCGTAAAGTTCTTTGGTCGTAAAGTTTATACGAAAACATTTCAAAGCGACGAATAAATTTTTTGTCATTTCATGATGAGTGAGAGATTTTCTGTCTGCTAAAAAACTTGATGCCATTTTGCATGGGAAAATTGCTTAGCATATAATTGTTTTTCGTGTAAAATTGTAATTTTATCCTCACAATTTTTTTCTTACAAAAACAAGAAAAAAAATTTTATAGCTCATTTTATCGCTAAACTGAACTTATGCAAATGTTTCATTTTATAGAAGAGTCAAAAGTCACAAGGAAGGTTCTCTGCGATGGCAAAACATGTGTTGTTCAGTTTTTTAGATTAACATATGAAATTTGGTCAGTCCAGAGAATCTGTCCATTTGAATCTGTCCAAGTCTGTCCAAATTTGAAACTGTGCAATTTGAGTCTGTTCAAATTTCGATAGCATTCAGTTTTATAAAAATTTGTGGTGTTCTTCATTTAAATTTTACTTATTTTCAGTTTTATAAGAAGTTGTGTTGTTCTATAAAAATTTTGAAAAAATAGCTTTTATTCGAAAAATCAGCTCTAAAGTCAAAACTTGTGAATGATGTGCCCACGCCGCCCAAACTGGAAATCTATGGATAAAAAATGACAAAGATTGAGTTTTGTTGTCAATGTTTATAAAGTGAAAAATAATCGATTATGTGTAGTATATTGCTGTTTTTTTAATAATAAGCAATTAGTGTTTTGTATTGCTGTTATTTAATAAAGCATGAAATCTTATTGTTTATTTTTTATAACTGATCATTTTGGTGAAATTCGTTTATAATAGATTTTCATTGGAATGTGATTTTGAAAGCTAACGAATCAGTTTCACGTTTTCAACTATAATTGAATACTTATTGTTCAATTTCAAATGTTGTCTGCGCAACTTTGATTTTTGTTATTCATTTTATTTTCCTCAATTTTTATTGTTTACAACAATTTTCTTTTTTTAAATGGAAACTCGAGGAAAAAAAATGAAGGTTGAAAACCTTTGTATATATGTTTTTTATAAATGTATATGTTTTGAGAGAGAACGCGCGCTGAAAAATGGCTTTCTGAGTTTTTTCAAAATCTATCGTGCTGAAGGGGGAATGTAGTTTTATGTATGCTTTTTTTCAATTTTTTTTTCAAGTAACTGTCGAAAAAACTCCCTTTTAGTTCTGTCAATTTTTTTTGTTGTTTCAAATTTTTTTTATCCAATTATGTATTTTTTGTCTATCCAATCAAATAATGTCTTCAAAAATACTAATCAAAAAAAAAATTCAAACAAGATAACACTTTCAATTTTTTTTTTTTTTTCAGTCATAATTTATAACCCTTTCAAATTACAGCTACTTTTTTATCATAAAAGATTACTTTGTATAATAATTTTGCATAATTTTTCTGCAATGCTGTAATCGTGCTTCACAAGTTGATAGAGTTCATTTTCCATAAAAAATTTGATTGTGACGAATATTGCTGAAAAAACTTTGTGTCGAAGAACAAAAATCTTTCTTACTTAAAATTTCTCAAAAAAAGAAGCTTCTTCTGATAGAATCTCAAAAATGGACAGTGATCATTCTGATTTCAATTTTTCAAACTCGTCGACTGAGAGCCCAGACAATTCAAACCCCTTCACAATTCCTCCCTCGACCTTTATTTGGGTGGTTGTTTCAGTCGCAATAGTCTCAATGACATCCCAAGCTGCAGTAATTTTGATTGCTTTCGGTCTGAAAGGCGATTTCTCAGCCCAAACTATCATGATTGTGCAATCGGTTTCAGAAATTTTGAAAATGGCTCAAATTGTTCAGCGGGCAGTATGCGGTCTATCAGGTAAAAATTCCATTATCAAAAATTATACTTGAGTTTTTGTTTGTGAGATAAGAATTCTTACATCAAAAATTATCAAGTCAAAAAAAACAGACAAATTAATCGAGCTTTTTCGTTTTTTTCTTTAAGTGTTATTACAAGCCGGCAAAAACCAGAGCATATGAAAATTCAGTTAAACTGAAATCAAAGGAAAAACTCAATTTAGCATTTCAGGAAAAAATTGTGTATATCAACAATCTCCACTACAAGTTGACCAAGTAATTTTTATCAATCACAGCTCAGAGGTGAACTTCACAACTTTAAACTAATGTTTTGTAAGCTTAAATTGGTCACAAAAAATGCAGAATAATTGCAGAATAAGTTATGAATAGTTTGTTTTTCTTGTGCAGATTGTTGAGAAAAGTTTTCAATATTGCTATTAAATAACTGATAAGCATAAAAATTTTTATTGAAGCAAATAGGACTTTTTTCTGCTTAAACGAATTTTGGACTTTTTATTTACATCCAGATTATTGGGAGATCGCCCATTTGGTGCAAAAAAAACAAATCTTCATTTTTGTTTTTAAAAGCTTCAAAAAAGCCAAACATCTGGTCTTAATTCATTTTGAAATGATTTTTGATTCAAATAAATTTGCAACTAACGCGTTATTCTATATCGCAAAAATTCTAAATCTCGAAAAATAGCGCCTTTCAAAATTGTTTTGAATTTTTGAGACCCGCAAAAATATTCTAACAATGTAAAACACGTTTAATTAAAAAGGTGAAAATTAAAAACCGATTAAGAATTAAAAGACCACACCAAGCGCAATATTCCGTCAATTATCAAAAGTCTGAACCTTTTTTATTTGATTTGATCGGAAAACATTGAAATAAATTTGACTCCAGCTAAGGTTCGCTGCTTAAACTGACATTCGCTCGCAGACGAAACGCTCGCAGACAAAACGCTCGCAGACAAAAAAAAACATCTCGAATTTGAGCTCGAAATTTCATTCATCAAAACCCTTAGACTCTAAAAACAAAACCTTCATTCTAGAACTTTTTTGCTGCGTTTTTGATTGTTTCTCCTACTAAAAAAAGTTGAAACATTTTAATATATATTTTCTAAACACAATCTCACTGACTCATCTAAGTTAAACCTAAAATTACAACAGGACTACTCGTATCAGGGCAAAGCTCTGAATCTTCCGACTGCCTTTTAAGGTTTATGAAGCAGTAATAACTTGAAAAAATTAAACGTAATAAAGTAGAGTGAATTTTTTTCAATTTAAAGTTTTTGTGAAAATCATCCACCCACACGCCATATAAGGTACACACTGATAGATTCTCTTTCTATAAACAAATCAATTGTGGTAAATAAGCTTCCTTCAAACAATTTGGAACATTTTTTAAGACAGATTAAATCTCTGCTTCCGCGTTAATAGCTCGAAATAGGTCGCGTGTTCATTGTTCCAAGTTGACCAAAATGGCAATCTTCAAACCCCAATAACTCTACAATCACTGGTAAAAATAACTTTTCAAATTTAATCTCAATACAACAATACTTTTTGATTGATACTTAAAAATTTTGTCAAAAGTAGCTAGTTGAAAAGTCGAAATTTGTCTGAAGAAAAAAACCACCCCGAGCTCAAATAAGCCGTCACTTTCGTTACGAAAGTCGGAACAAAAACTAAAGAATATAATTGATTTAAAACCGTATATTATTTCAAAATGAATAAAATGAAAGCTGATTATTTCGACAGATTTCCCCCCATAAAGAGAAACTCAGACATATTATCACCCATAAGGTTCGCTGCTCATGCTCTGTAACCAAGAGTAGAATGATATGTACTGACAATCCTAAACTGACTTCTCAATTTTGGACAAAAAAGCGCTCGCAGATGAAAAAATGATTTTAATTATGAGTTCAATTTTTAATTGATCAAATTTTTTCTCGGCCAAAAACAAAACTTGAATCAGATTTGTTTTGCTACGTTTTTGATACGTTTTTGCTCCAATAAAAAAAAGAATGGTTTCCATCAATTTTTATAATAAAAAAGTCTATTGACTCATCTAAGTTGCAACACTTTTTTTAAGGTTTTGCAATTGCAAAATACTTCCCACAATTGGTTTTGGTATTTTGCAGGGAATCTTTCTACCATTTCATAGACACAATGAAATGTGGTGCGCCATGTAAACACACGAAAATGTGAAAGTTCTTTTTTTATTCTTTCAAATTCCTTAATTTGTTTCAAGAGCTAATAAGTGTTTCATCTGTTTTCGTTTTCAGTTTTCAAGTTTAAGTCGGATAATTCCTGTAATTTTTGCGTATTGACAAAATTTTATGCTGAGTTGTAGTTGAATGTGTATCAAACGGTGCACTATCATCATCTGTATTTTACGAAAAAAAAATCCGATGGCACAAAAATCTTCCATTTTTCGATGGATGGAAGAAATTAAATCAGGTAGAAAATAAATAACTCATAGCATAAATCTGGTACTTTTTAAGGTGGAGCGTGGCTAGCTTGCGTTCATCACAACGTAACACTTTTGTGCAAATTGGCGAAAAGTTCCAGCGATCTTCTGAACACGTTTCCAGACCACATGGGACTCTTTCTGGCGCTCGATCGATATCTGGCAGTCAAGCACGGAGTGTGGTATAGCCAGAACTGCACCCGAAAAGCGGCCTGGATTGTGATTGTGCCTGCTATCTTGATCAGAATACCAGATGTCGCAATTGCTTTTGTCGCTGCTGAGATTGTACCGGAGCAGGGCTGTTCTGACGTCGGAGTAAGATTTATCAACTTGACTGAGCAGCACGATTGTTTGACTAATGCAGAAAATCTTTTTGATGCGTAAAATTTCAACTTTCTAGTTCCATTATGTAACTGCCTGAAAAAAACTGCAAATTATATTGGGTTTCAGCCTGAACGGAGCCGGGGTCTTCTAGAATGAGAAGTGAGGGGGTCAGAGTCTCCAAAAACACAATTGTGACCCTACTTTGACCAAGAAATTTGAAAAAAAAAATGTTTTGAGCTGTTTTGAAAAAAAAATGTTTTTTTTTTTTTAGATATTTGATTTAATGAATGTGCTCTGATTGGGTTTTTAGATTGCCCCTTTTGTATCTCAAATTGTGGTGGGTGCATTGGGTGCGCCATCTATTGCGGTCGGTGTTGTCTTCACAATTCTTCTGATTGTCGAGCTGAACCGAAGAAGAAAGATCAGACAACCTGCGCTACGGAATCTGCTCGCAAAATCTGACCTCCTAGTTTTGAAGAGTAAAAAAACTTCTCGAAAAGGAAGGTATTTTAGTACTAAAAGGAGCCTTAAATAAGTTCTTTTTGAGTTTTTTTTGGCTGATCATTATATACTAATTTTAAGGGACAAGCGAAAACTTGAGAGAAAGTTTGCACTTTAGGGGAGCTTACTTACCCAAAAAAGGGGGTCGGGAAAGGATGCCAATTTTTTAGAGTTAATTCAATCCTCGGTGAGATCTTTTATTCGCCCCCGTGTTGACTATTTGAAGTCTTTCTCGATGAACATAGAATCATGAAAAGTGAGCAAAAACGTAAAAGTTTCGCTTTTTATGCGTTTTCAAAATCACAAAAATGGAAAATGTCAAACCGTTTAAAAGCAAACCTGGATCAAGAAAACTTAGAAAAAGAAGTGGATTTATATGAAAATCTTTAGTTTACTTGATTTGTGATTCTTTACCAACAGGAGGTGGGTTTTGTGATCAGATCAAGAGACGGCAAAGAAGTGGCAGCCAGTTTGGCAAAATTCGACCAGGTTTTCTATATTGTTTCATTGTTTCAAATTGAAAGTAGTGTTTTAGTATGGATTTTCAAAAAATTAATTGAAGTGCTGTCGCATTATGAGACGAAACTCTGCACTGAATAGGCGCACATTTTTATTGTGTCTGTATGTTCCTTGATTCCAGGGACAAGTCTTTAACCAAGTTCGACGGAAAGAAAAAAATGAGAGAACAAAGAAGAACGAAGGGAGCGTCCTTGTCGCGGAGTTCGCTGACAATTCAAAAAATGCTCAGTTTGACTCTTAATGAAAAATAAACATGATACGACGTTTAAATTCAATGAAAAAAGATTCAATTTGCAAAGAATCTAGCAAGCAAAATCAAAAACTTAAAAATGATAAGTTTACGTTGTAAGCTGACAAATACTGTGACAAATTTTATTAATAGGAAAACGTAAAATATAGTTGCCACTCATGTGTAAAGCAAAAGTTATCATCTTTTTTTCCGACAAAAAAAGGCTACAAAAAATGATTTTCTTCAATAGCACTATTATTAATGTTGTTTTGTACTAGTCTCGTCCAATAAAAAAGTCATCCTCTGGTATTATTTTATAGCATCCACTTTCAACCGAACAGCCCTAGTTTTTCTAAGGGAGTGTGCTTTTTAACCTGTTTTTTTTAAAATTTGTCTCGGGCGCAAATCTTTTGGGTATAAATTGAGTCTTTATACTGTTCTGTGAGCGCTCGTAAAATCAATTTAGCCGACATAAAAAAGGTCGACAAAAATTTCGAAAAAATGT